AAGACGACATACTTTGGGGCTATATTTTGTTCAAAACTTACCGAAAATAACTGAATAGTATGTTGTTATCTGTATTTATGTGTACTTATTATTTACGAGATTATAAACCAATTAGTCATCTCTACGGGAGACAGGGCTGACAGGCTGTCACCAACAATATCATTACCATATATGTAATTATCTGTGTCCTAATGACAGGTTGAAAAAAGACATCCCAGTTTCATGAATGTAATTGACACAAGTTTCATGTCTCAAATAGTGTCTGTATAACCATGGTAAATATACACAGAGAATCACGATTTCACAGTTAAGTGTCATTTCTTAATAAAATATGAATAATTACTAATGAAAGTCTGTATATTTTGTCTGAGTGAGATGATCCATTTATTAAGATTATTCAATTAACAAATAGGACATGCCATATTTTATTCTTGATGGCTAATGATGGAACATAAAAACAGCCCAACCTGAGTGTACAGTTGTATGAATAGAAAAATCACAATTGTCATCTAGTAAGTAAATCATAATGTCTACCTGCAAAAAAAACCCCATCTAGGCCACGGCAACAAAAAAACTTGTTTCTTACATTCATCATTAAATGAATTAATATTACTGATACAAGGAAACAGATAATTATCCAGCAGTTTTGCCAGAATAAAAGGATTTTAATAGTACATATATCAGTGATTTCAGAAAAGTAAGAGGCCTATTGGGCCTTTACGATCAGCAGAGTTCACTGTAAAGACCCCAGAACATGTAGCTACAATAGTAGTAGTGAGAAAAGTTTGCTCACATCAATTTGAGTTCTTAGCAAGTTTAAAGTGAGTTACTCGAATAAAAAGCAAATGATAAATGTGACAAAGAATGTACTGTTTTGATTTGAGTTTCTGAATATTTCTACAAGTTTCAGCTCAATGGCACCAGTATAATTGCAAGAAGTAGGTATTACAGCTATTTTGACTTAGAACACACCTAAAAAATAACAACACTTGGTCTCGACCATCTCATGATCATTACAGTCAAGTTTCACCAAAATCCCGACGCTGAAGCTTGAGAAGTTTGAAATGTGCATTATTCAAGCAAACCGTGAAGGTGCAATCATGTTACAAAATAGCGGATGAAGAGTTTTTAAAGCAGGCTCAAAAATATTAAACTTTAAAGGCATTTTTAAATATCTGATCTCTACAAAGTCTCAACTCAATGGCACCCGTGACACTGAATCAGTTTTGAAAATGTGTTTTTTTTCAAATAGTGGCTGTCAAGGATTTCAGGCAAACCTATAACACAACAATGACCATTTTCAAAACATTCCTGGCACTAACTTTGTCTATGATATCCCACTAGTGGAACTTGGTAAGAAATTTAAAACATGGAAACAGCTCACATGGCAGATGGTACATGCAACAGGAGCACATGTGTATAGAAATGTGACGTGTTCCTTCCCAATTGACATCATCACATGATACAATGTATACACACATTAGAACAAGTAGTATTTTGCAGTGTTTATATTTTGTTTCATTTTTAGGGGAAATTTTTTTTGCCAAATCTAGATACCGAGAATTCATTTTCTATGTCAATTTGTTGATTATTTGCATAATAAACGATATGATTTTCATGTAATATGGCATCCTTTGTAGTACATCGTCAACATATTAAACTATTTTTTTTCTAAAATTTAGAATATGAAATGGGAGAAAAATACCCTCTAATAGCTTTGGGTGAAGGATGGGATATTTCATCCTTGAGATTAAAAAATGTGGTAAAACCCATGATAAAGCCTTGGATTTTATGACATTTTGTGACTTCCCAGGTGTAATATCTCTAACCTACACCCTGGTATATGAAATAGTTTTATATATATATATATATTCTTTGTTCATTATCCATACTTTCTATATAATCCAACTGGAAATGATTTCAAAATACCTATCATATTCAGTTTTGTTTGAGCACTGGCATTTGACCCCATTTTCACTTTAAAAAAATATCTTTTTCAACCTTTTATTCTACTGAACAAAGGAAGTAAACATGGGTGACTTTTATCGAACATAGTAGCAATCCCAGTATACAGTAGAAGGAATACATTCTAAGCAAAACACATCCATATACGACATAAAAACTTACATCAGTACAAAAAAATTATTACAAATGAATAATTTCAATCTTTAAGGCAAAATATACTTGTTACAAATACATAATTTCAATCTTCAAGGCAAAATATACATTATATTTTGTAATCTTCGATGTTAAAATAATCGTAAAGTATTTGTGAACGTCCTTAACAGTAGGTTAAAACATACAGTTCTTCTGAACATTGTCAATGGCAGGTTTAAAGATAAAGGGCGGGTGTATGTCATAAATAATAGGTTTAAAATACAATAATTGTGGACATCACAAATCATCAGTTTTAAGGTACGGTACTCGTGCACGTCACAAGTAGTAGGTTTAAAGATACCATATTTAGAATTCACAAATACACAAAGTTAGTTGAATGTAAAACTAAATACAGACATAAATTAAGTATACTGAACCAGCTTATAACTCCTGTATATATATATATATATATATATGTATCAAATCCATGTTTCACTGTCAGATATGGTCAACAAGCATTGATGATCACTTTACAATGGAGACACATAGGTGCTCAGGAATCTTCTGATCTAGCCGTGTTAAAGTTGTCATATTCATTTTAAATTCTCAATCAATACAAATATCAAATTTTAGAGTCTTCTGGCTTCTTTGTTTCATGTTCAATGCATAACACTAAAGAGAAATATTTTGTTTTGTAAAAATAATAGTGATGCTTTAAAATCATGGCTGAGTATTCCCATCGATGTCATTATTTAGACCCATGCATCTGCTAGAGACGGAACCAGTGACCTCTGGCTCCTTATCAAGCCAATGGATAATATATTCAGCTAGTGTTTACCAGGGTTACATATACTTTTAAGCACAGAAAGTAAGGTGGTGCAAGGATAACACACTTGCCTTTCACCTAGACGTTCAGGGTTCAATTCCGCGAGCTGATCTGAAAAGGTATTGGGGTTACCTACTCTACCAAATGGGTTTTCCCAGGTACACCTCACACACTTCCATTTGGGCCAAGAAGAGTGATAATAAAAGCTGAGAGCTTGTTTCGCAATTGTTGTAAAATAAATAAAGTTCATATCTTATAAGTACAGATATTATCTGAATCGCCCTCTGAATTTGAATCATATTTACTGTGACTTCTCGCCATTCAAAAACAGTAATTCAAGCAACAAAACAGTACGGCATTGTCATATAAAATCACCTTTATATTCAAATTAGAGAATATAATGTAAAAAAAAAAATGCTGATGTGGCAAGTAATTTGATAAATCTTTGAAAGGGTCAATAAAGTATCAGCATATCTGTTATTTTATTACAAAAAGTACTTAAAAACCAACTGATGCAACAGCTGATAGGGGTATTGGCCTATCATAATTTTGTACAATAATGATGTTTTTTCTACCTGAATTTCATAGCTGCCAGTGACTGAATCAATATCTGGAAATATGGTAATGTTATTATATTCCAGATTTGTCCTTAATTTGGGAAAAAAATAACACAAAATTTCATAATTATGAAAAACAATACTCATTAAGGCACTTTCCTGATAAAACATTTTCCAGTTAGACTGATAAAGACTCATCACTGCTTGAACATATTCTTTTGTTGTATTTATCTGAATACTTGTCAACAATTTTGGTTATCGTTATGTAAATTTAGAAGAGCCATGTCATGAAACATTTTTCAGCTGCATTAGAATCACATACTGTTGTTCATTAAGTTATCAGCAGTTGGTCAAACAACATCGTTGTGTGTGCGGATATTGATGGCAGTCGGAACCTATGATCAAACACTCCATCAAAATATCAAATATTTACAAAGTTGTTGTGATGTCATTCAATATAATAACATTCAAACTAACGTTTCCTGCACAAAAACCACAAAAGACTATTTTCTAAATGGATAAAGTTGTAAAAATATGCGATATGGCTTTGATCATTATCAGTGACTGAAATCAGGAATCAGAAAGAGGATAATGTGGACCAATATTTAAATTTGCAATGTATTTTGTAAAATACTTCAAATCCACGTCTGATGCAATTTTTTTCTTTTACATAAGATATTTTATTTGGATTATTTCAGAATAAGCAAAAAATTAAGTACACAAACTTTTCAGGAGACAATGTTTACTTTGACAGTTGTTGCATGCAGCAGGATCGGCTGCACAGATTACCAGATTAGTTAAAGAGGTTTTCTTATTAGAGGTAGAGAGTGTCAAAACACCCCATAATTATCATGCATCGTGTGAAGACAATTCGCATGTTTCATGGAATGAGACCTGAAAATATAAAAATTATTCGAGGACTGTTCCAAGTCAAGCACTGATCATCATAGTGTTGCTTTTCGTATGGTGAAGCTTGACGGGACAATTGCAAATTTTCAAGTTCGGAATAGGATGCAACATGTTACACCAGGCCATTCTTGTTCTTTCAGTGATCTGTCTCATCATAATTAAGTATATTGTAACACATTCTCTCCACAATACCATGCAAAAGATATGTGATTCATCTATCAACACAAGACGACCAGTCCAACTGGTGCTACCTAACTGTATTACATGACACAACCACCAACTTGCTTTTTGAATTAAACCCACAGGGATCAATCCCATTTCAAACGGGATTTTAAACATTGAATCAGAATTTTCATTATTATATCAACAAGTTTGTGAGAGTAATCGGACAACCAAACCATTGTGAAGGTCTGATTACAATGTGATGGATAACACACATTAATGTCGATTGGTGCTCTACGCAATTTTGTGTAATTACCTTAATTGTGTAACTACAGTAGGCTAATGGTTATCATCATACAAGAGACATCTTCGTTCTGAAGCCATACAATTATTGTCATCATCACCTTCTCCGAGTGGGTTTTTATGTTTTCATTATTAATATCGCTTACCTCGACTGATCCACGTGTCCGCGACTTGTTCTGAAAGTCGTTGGTCATCCTCGGACCTGTCAAACTTGAGAAGCCCAAGTCGGTCCCAGCCATACAGACATAGCAGACCAACCAAACATACTGCTCCTTGCACACATCGTAATTCTCGTCGTTTCATCGCCGGGTCATATAAAATGGAGATCAGTGAAGCAGTTTCCTTAACTATGTATCCAACATTCGCGATCAACCATTCATGGTATTTACCGGTGTCGTGTTGTCTCCGTTGTCGACTGTTTACACAGCCCTACTTTCGGTATATACAAACCTCTATGATGGACGAGTCCATTATTTATCAACCGAAGGTGATTGCGTCGTAGCTACTAAATCATACTTAACATGGATATTCCATGATGGCTGCATATGTATATGTTTTCGTCTCAGTGCTTTAAGAGAGTTATTTTAGAAAAGTTTACCATCAAAAATTACAAACGCCTTTTCACGTTACGAAACCTAACTAATACGTAGTCGATTCCATATTTGGAAAATAACAGGTGCGGCCTTTCGGAACATCTCGAGACTTTTCTCCGTACAATATTTATAGTATATGTTGCTATGCGAGTGAGGGAGGATGCAGTTGCTGCACCCGCACAAACATTTATTATCGTTTCTTCAAACCCGCCTTTGTTCTATCATATAGACATGAACAATCAGAATAAACTTATTAGTTCCCTACCAATGAAACCAGGATGGGGGAATGGGCTACAGTTTTCCTTTACGTCAGTCCTTCTCTGACAGCAGTTTGTCAGCTCTCTAGCGGTATCACTCAATTGGGGGATTCCCATCAAATTAACACACTTTAAAAACATTAAAATATCTTGGACAGTATCCAGTTGCAGGATTTTGTTTCAAGGTCAAGATCAGCTTTATTTTTTTAGAATATCGTTATATACTTGCGATATTGGTTCACCTTTGGCGATGTGTCTTTGTAATAAATTTTGACTGCAGCGGATGGAAGATATGTTAAATACACAGGCGTGATCACTAAATGGGGAAAATAACTATGTTTTAAAGGACATTTTTTTCTGAATGCTTTGTTTTGCTTGTTTGGGTTTTTTCTCAAACTGCAAAAAGAAAAGTGAAGAAAAAAAATCTGCTCACCGTCCTTGCACAATTCACATTTATCGCTAGAAAACAACCACGGACTTAAATATAAATATCGTAATGTCCGAATAGAAATGTCAATATTTCAAGATGCAATATGTTATTGTTTTGATATCCGTTCTACTAACCCGAACCACCATTAGTTTTCCAATGTGTGATTTTAAGGGTCAACATCAATATCCGATCAGTGCGAGTATTACAGCGCCACTAACTACGTCTACGCGCTTTCAAATGACAAGTCACTTACAATAACAAATGAAAACGGCCTCAAGAAATCGACACACACTATTTGGAACGAAGTTCAGAGGACACAGATTCAACGACCGAGCGACAGAACTGCATATTTTTAAATAACAAAAACGTTTGATCAAACTTTACACACTAATTCGCACTTCATGGTTATTGGGTACATGTCAGTCTGTGGAGGATTTTTCTGTCCTCTTTTAATGACTGCACGTCACTTAGTGTTGAATTCTGACGCTATTTTATCACATGCAATGTCCTTTTTGTCATATGTAAAACTGTTAAAAATGTAAACGTGATTCTTTTAAGCTATATCGTATTTGTATTGTTTCCTGTACCTGAAAACGTGGCCCACGCGTTTTGATCATGTTTAGCATACACGTGGACATGGGATCTATATATCTAAGTCAGTGGATACTTTACTGTCGAAATGCTTTTTGTCATGGGAATTTTAAAATTTATGATAATGTTATACCGAAATGTAAGCTGTGCTGAACCATTCTTGATATCATCTATATAAAGTTTTTAATCCCTTTCGTCAATGATAAGAAATATCGGATGAATTCTGAGATTAGGAAAGCCATGCGACTACGAGACTTCAGAAAGAATTTCAACGTGTTAAGTCCATTTCCAATCCAGCAAAAGATAAATTAAAAAAAAAAAAACAAACAAACAAATAAACAAGGTTGACAACACAAAAAGGATGCAAGGGATTTGTTTTTGATAACGATATTGATGAATGATTGACAAACTTGATACCATTATCCCTGAATCTTATTGGAGAGACTTGTTCGTAAATTATATAAGCAGTCTACATCACAGGAAGTTATCCCACTGTTAGTAAACCCTAATACTGGAAATGTTGAACTTGGCGATGCCGAAAAGTAAAATACACTAAATGATTTTTGTTCTTAATTGAACCACATAAAAACGCAAGTACATTTTCACGAAAAAATATTTAATTGTGATCTTTTGTATACTACTGTTAATATCAATCATATAAAGTTGTGAACACAAATGATGAAATGGCGTGCTTTTTGTTTACTCCCGACACTGTTCACACTGACACATGCGCAATGCGTAAAATCGTGAATCCTGCTCGTGCAATCACGGGCGTTGCCAATACAGGTAAGTTTTCACTGAGACGTGTCTTTTATGGAGTGGCCCATCCCAAAAACATCAATTCAGTGAAGGTAGCCCGAATAATGCTCATGAAACACAATGCCACGATTAATATGTCATAGGAAGGAGTAATGAAAATCACCCTGCCACCGCCTGGGCTCGAACCAGCGACCTTTCGGTCTCTAGCCGGACACTACCGCTCCACTTAACGGAAATTTCACTAGCCGAAGCTAGTAAGGCGACTTCTGCTCTCAACTCCTACACTACCCCCTCCTTCACAAAGTCTTCGACCCTGAATACATCAATGTCCCATGTTCAAGATCTCAAAGGCAGCATCTAATTCTCCTATAGCCTCTACCCTTGGAGTGGTCAACGGTACGAAATATGTCATAGGAAGGAGAAATAAAAATACCTGGCACTGTTTAGGTTTGAACTGGCGACCATTCGTTCTCTAGCCGAACACTCTACCGCTCGACTAAAGGGAAATTGCCACTAACCGTTGCTAGTTAGGCGACCTGTACTATCAACTGCTACAATGGCAGAGAGAATGACTCTCCGAAGTTTGCAGGCGGGTACCTCCGCCACTATTGCGCCAGGCGTTTTGGATGTCATGTTAGCACTATCACCAGGCTTGCTGGATGCTTCCAACATACGGGTAACTCACCTTTGTAACCGAACCCAGCCTACAACCAAAACAGCAGTTGCCATAAGAGTTAGAAGACGTCCAGTGTCCACCGAGGTCGTCCGGCGTTGCTTACATGAACATGACATTAACTGCCGACGTCCTCACGTAGCGCTTATTCTCACTTAGTGCCATCGACAGCAACGTCTTCAATGGGCAAGACATCATCAACGATGGCGTCTTGTTGACTGGCGACGAGTTCTCTTCTCAGACGAGTCTCGATTCCATCTTTCCCATGCTGATGGCCGATTGCGTGTGTGGCGTGAACGTAACGAACGTTACGCCGATTGTTGTGTCCTGCAGGATAACAGATGGTGTTGCGGCAGCGTGATGGTATAGGAAGCCTTAAGTTACCACCATCGGACACCTCTTTGCGTCTTCCGTCAACATGTAACAGGAGTGGTGTACAGGGATGACGTTCTCAAGCCTTGTTTGCTGCACAGCCGCAACTACAGTTTTACCAGCAGGACAACGCCCGTTCACACACTGCCCCAGTACCTATGGGTTTCCTTGTACATAATAATGTGAATGTCCTTCCTTGCTTGTCCCTTTCACCGGATATGACATCGATAGGACATGTGTGCGATGATATTGAGAGTAAAATAGCTGTAGGTGGAGCTCCGTTGACATTGGCACAGCTGGAACAGAGATTCCTCCAGGAATGAAACAATTTGACTCAGACATTCTTCCAGACTCTCAGCAATTCCACGAGACGACGTTGCACAGCCTGTATCAATGCCCAAGGCAGACACAAGCATTATTGATTGATTTGTGATTTTCCTTTCATGGAGATACCTTCATCAAACAGACAAAAGAAATCTTGTGAAATGAAATCTAGTCACATTTTGGTCAATTGCAATTTTAACAAACTATTAAATAAATCAGTAACAATTCAGTTCCTGTTTTTGATTTCTTACAAAAACGTATCTTAAGTCGGACTTGCGTTTCTTTTGGGATTCAGTATATTTCAAATATAAACGATAAGGACATTCCATTACCCATTTTTAATGATAAAACCAATCCTCTCACTGACTCTCTTTTAGTCAGATTTGATGAATTTTGTGATATTTTGAAAATTTCAAAATTAAGAAAAGCATCCTTCATTACCATGTTATCGGTAATAAGAATGTTTTGTTGAGTAGAAAAACGTTATTGAGGACATACAAAGTATTTGCCTGTATAAGAATATGCTTGTGAGTTATGGGTTGTCCTCTGACGTTAACAAGCTGGAACAAGTGCAGTTTGAAGCAGTATCAATTATTACCTGCATGCCTTCTTCATCAAGTAAACAATCCTTATATAACGAATCCCAATTACAACCATTAACGAAAAGAAGGACACTTAAAAAAACTTTCACTATTCTGTTCCTAATTTTAGATTGTCCAATATTTGTGAATCTTTCGTTTCATCTTCTATTAGATGATGGACTGGTTTACCAATCAATGTCAGAGAACAGCCATCGATTGTTTTAAACCTAAAATTCAACAAAATCCTGATTTATTACTTATCTATAATCATGTTGGAAACAGAAAATTGGACGTTTTACATACAAGATTGCGACAATCTTCCAGTAGCCTAAGATAGTATTCGTTCAGAGTTAATATTATCAATAACCCCGCTTAAGAATGTGGTAACGAATGTGAAAATACTTTGTATTATTTTTTATTATAAATTATATAAGACAACGTGAAAATTTATTTGATAACGTTTCTCCTTAATGTAACGTCATAATTCATGTTCTTTTCTGCGGTTCTCGAAACCAGTCCGATGAGCGAAATGCGAATAGTTTTCAGTCCGTTCATACTTTTATTAAAACCAATAATCGGTTTTAAGGTCATCTGTCATCTTCACTTCAGTAGTACATGTCTCTATATCCTTCTCTCCTTGCTTCTTTCCTTGCTTTACTCAATTTCTATTGTTTTCATCTCTTCTCTTCTAAGACATGTAACAAATCAAATCTGATGAAAGTG